TCAGAAGTGCAATTCCAGCGTCTGTTGTACATTTAACTCTGCTAAAGCCAAACTGATTTTGGTGAAGTAATTTATTTAATGAAAAGTGTGCAAGCAGTTGATTGTAAATCATTTTCTCAAATACTTTACTTAACGCTGGTAGAATAGAAATTGGTCTGAAATTACTGGGACCAGACTTGTCGCCTGCCTTGAAAAGTGGGATTATTTTACCATATTTCATTAAATCAGGAAAAGTTCCTTCATCAATGCACTTATTAAAAATAAAAGTTAATTGAGGTGCTATAGCTGGGATTATAGATTTGATAACATAAGTTGAAACGCCCCAAAGATCTTCGGTTTTTTTGACATTAATACAATTAAATGTTTTAATAATTGAGCAGACGTTAACATGTCTAAAATAAAATTCAGTATTGCACTTATCAACAACTGACTCTAGATGCGTAACCGCAAGTTTAGAACATGAACTAAGATTTCTTGTGATTTCTATTGGTGTCTTAGAAAAGAATTTCTCAAATGTCTCGGCAACCGCTTCATCTGTTTTAATAATTTTATTGTCAACCTCTAATGAGTATGTGCGTATATTACTTTTATTTTTACCCGTTTCTTTATTTATGATAGTCCAGATTGTTTTTATTTTATTTTCTGAATTGTAAATTTTTTCAGATATATATTTTGCTTTTGCTGAAACACATACTTTCCTAAAAATGTTTGAATAATTTCTGACATATTCAATAAACTTTGGATCGGTCGAGGTACACTTTAGCTCATTATAAACGTACTAAACAAATATACGGAGGAGGAGTATTGAAAGCGGTCCGCCGTGAACTATCAGCCATCTCACAGCCTAGTTTCTTCTCCTCCGCCGAAGATTTATGGATAACTTTAACATTTAATTCCAAAAATAATTTAATAAAAAAATGTCATATTTGTGTTATTTACCTATGCAATGAAAATATTGGTTTGTAAGTTTTAATTTCTCTCAACAGTTAAACAACTTCCTTGATACACTTAATAACTTAATGCATGTCTATTCTAATGACTATTTCATTATAGCAGGCGATTTTAATTTAAGCACCTTAACATGGACTCCCAGTCATCTAAAAGATGGAACTATGCAACCATCTATACCTACAAGACCAGACGAGATTCGCTTGGTGGATGAATTGAATACAATTAATTTGAGTCAGTTCAATTGGATAAAAAATGCTAATGGCGTTATACTTGACTTAGTCTTAGCTAATTTTAAAGTATTGGTATCGGACTGTCGTGATAACTCTCTTGTTCCCATCGACTCCCACCATGGCGCGCTGTTATTGGAGTTAAATTGTATTGAATCTCCTCCACTCGTTAGTGCACCCCGTACTAAGTACTTGTTTCGGCGGGGCGACTATGATAAAATTAATGAAGAAATTGCTCTCATCGACTGGAATTCTAAGTTAAACCATTTAAAATTTGATGACGCTATGAATGAATTTTATAATTTTTATACGTCTATAAGAGACAAATATATACCAAAAAAAAATATCACAAGTGGTTCCTACCCGAAATGGTATACTACGTCACTAATAAAAGTGATAAAGGAAAAAGCAAAATATCTTCGAAAATACAAAATCTACGGAAATCAAGCAGATTTTCAAAGTTACAGTTTGTTACGTGATCGAGTCAAATTCTTAGAAAAACTATGCTATAATAATTATGCAATGTTAATAGAAAACTCAATTGAACAACACCCAAAAAATTTTTGGAGTTTTGTATCTTCTAAAAAAAATCTAATGGTATGCCTTTAGTCTTAACTATAACGGTTCGACTTATAATACTGGCGACTCGATTTGTGAAGCATTTTCTAATTACTTCCTTTCCACTTTTGCCGTGAGCTCGCGTTCACTAACTCAGAATGTTCTAAATACTGATTCTACCTCTGAAATATTTTCTATAGAAATAGATTATAATAGAGTTGTGAAGGTGCTCCAAAAACTAGATGCCTCTAAATCTGCCGGTCCGGATGAGTTACCTTCATATTTTCTGATACAGTGCGCCAAATCAATCGCAATACCTCTATGCGTCCTTTTTCGAATGTCCCTGACGCAAGGATACATGCCTGCCCACTGGAAGCGGGCATTTATAACACCAATCCACAAAAAAGGATTAAAATACGAGGTAGTAAACTATAGACCGATTTCTAAACTGTGTATAGTCGCAAAGGTTTTGGAACGTTTAATTTACGATCAGTTATATCCTTGTATTAGACATTCAATAAGTCCTCAGCAACATGGATTTCTGAAAGGCCGCTAAACAGTGTCCAACCTTGTTCTTTTGAATGAGACCATCGCTGATACAATGGATAATGGAGGGTAAGTGGACGTTACATACACAGACTATAGCAAAGCCTTTGACAGAATTCCACACCATTTATTAGTTTTTAAGCTATCTGCGATTGGAATTAAGGGAGATCTTTTTAGGTGGTTTTCATCCTACCTCAACAACCGGTCTCAAGCTGTAGTTATTAATAATTACATTTCCAGTTGGGTTGACATACCTAGCGGAATTCCGCAGGGTTCATTGCTTGGACCTTTGCTGTTTTTAGTTTTCGTGAATGATATTGAGAAATGCTTCAGTTTCTCTAGTCTTTTATCATTCGCCGATGACATGAAGATCTTCGCTAGGATATCGTCTATCATGGACGCTCAATCCCTCCAGGACGACCTCTTTAAATTTGAAGCATACTGTGACGTTAATTGTTTAGACCTGAACCCTGCAAAGTATTGTCTCGTAAGCTATAGTAGGAAACGAAACCCTATAATCTTCAACTATGCCATAAGAGGCGAACAGCTCGGAAGAGAGACTAGCATACGCGATCTTGGTGTATTTCATGACTCGCGAATGATATTCGATGTCCATATCAACAGTAGTATTATCGCTAAAGCATACAAGGCATTAGGCTTTATCAAACGCGCATCTCGTGATTTTAAGCAGGCTAAGACTTTGAAAATCCTTTATTGCTCACATGTACGCAGTCATCTAGAAAACGCATCGCAGGTTTGGAACCCTAGATACTCGACCTACATTTCTAGATTGGAAAATATTCAGATTAAATTTTTACGCTATCTATGTTTCCGACTGTCCGAGCCATTTTCCTCCTCTGATTACCTGCTCCATTGCAAGAAGCATCATCTCATACCACTAGAGCAAAGACGTTTAATTGCTGACCTCTACTTCCTGCTTAAGATCACATCCAATGTCTTCGATTGTCCTCAATTGTTAGGTTCGATTTCCATTATACCGACTCGTAAAATCTTAAGATCAAATGCGCTTATTTATCTTCCACAAGTTAATACTGATTATAGGCAAAATTCCTTTATATGGCGTGCATGTAAGAACTTTAATAAAATATGTGTCGAATTCGATTTCCACCTATTTAATACTGGTTTTGAGAAAGCAAGACGTGCATTGGTGGATGGCTTTTTTTACATCGATAATGATCGATGGAAGGATTAATTAAGTGTGATCCCTAATTTGGAACAAATTTATTAAGAATGAGTATATATTGTGATTCGATTGTTTGTTTACCAGTTTGTAAACCATCGGTATGGACCTGTAAATGGCTTCCTATAGTTTATTTAATCGCTATGTATTTGTTATAGCTGTTGGTCTTCCCAAAATAAATAAAAAAATAAAAAAAAAAATGACGGCAGCAACACGATCGATGAGCGAAGGTGATGAAGCGGAGCGGAGTGTAGACGTGTGCACGGTGCGAAGGCGAGCCGAAGAGTGACCTGTCATCGATGCGACAGGTCACTCTTCGGCTCGCCTTAAAGTTATTGCCAGAAGTATACCTAAACTTTAATTCGTATTGCGGTAGCCAGGAGTGTCTGTGACCACCTGTTACATACATTATTAGGTGGAAGCTTTACTCAAGCTTTTATAAATCTAGACGCTAACATTTAATTTAGCTATACGCTAAGCATATAAAAAGCATCAATACGCGTTGCGAAACTACGTTCAATATAATATTTGTTTTTAATAATATTCATATTCATAAAATAAGGTCAGGTAGGGTCGATAATCCTTACGATGTTTTAAATTTTATTAAAATATAAAATCTATAAAATGTTTATTAGTGGTTTTTTGATGAAAAAATTATTGCCAGTAGTATACCTTAACTTTAATTGGTATTGCGGTAGCCAGGAGTGTCTGTGACCACCTGTTACATACATTATTAGGTGGAAGCTATACTAAAGCTTTTCTAGATCTAGAAGCTAACATTAAATTTAGCTTTACGCTAAGCATATAAAAAGCATAAATACGCGTTGCGAAACTTCGTTCAATATAATATTTCACGCATGAATAAAAAAGCTACGCTATGTTTTATTTTTTATTGCTTTTAATTAGCTATAATAAAGTCCCTAACAGTATTTATGAGAATGAGAGAAGACTCTGGAATGTCAAACAGTTAAATATTCAGATGCATGACTCTATATAGCTTTCACATAATTTCCATTATCGTTAATTGCTTGGGTATTTTCATTAATGATGTGATATTTTAATCGCTCATGATAAGTAAATTGGTTCTAGCGCTCTTAAATAAAAGTGCTCAGACAATGCTTAGTTATTTTTTGTCGAGCTTGTTGTCTATTTAATATTTATGCTTTTTATATGCTTAGCGTATATCTAAATCTAATGTTAACGTCTAGATCTAGAAAAGGTCGAGTATAGCTTCCACCTAATAATGTATGTAACAGGTGGTCACAGACATTCCTAGCTACCGCAATACGAATAAAAGTTTAGGTATACTTCAGGTAATAACTTTTTTCATCAAAAAACCACTGATATAGATTTTCTATTTTAATAAAATTCAAAACATTGAAAGGATTGTTGAGCCTACCTGATTTTATTTTAAGAATATGAATATTATTAAAAAACAAACGTTATATTGAACGTAGTTTGGCAACGCGTACGCACCGACCTCGCCCCCACTCTCCATCTACGGCGCAGCACCACCCTCATACCCTCACCCTTTCTGCTAGGTGCAGCACACGCGATTTGTATATAAGGTATTTATATCGACGCCACAGGTCACTCTTCGGCTCGCCTACGCACCGTGCACACATGTCTACACTCCGCTCCGCTTCATCACCATCGCTCATCGATCGTGTTGCTGCCGTCATGCAGTTAGCTGCTTGCATCTCGTAACTCTCGTCGCAGTTTTCACTGCGCGGGAGTTGTAATTTCATTATGAGTACGTCTTTGAAAGTCTACGCTTAGTAGCCGTCTAGTGGACGCGTAACTGTGTCAACTAACTTAGATGGGGCATGACATCATTAACGCATTCAGGCATGAATGATAAGCTACGCTATGTTTTATTTTTTTTTGCTCTTAAGAAGCTATAATAAAGTCCTTATCAGTATTTATGAGGATGAGAGAAGACTCTGGAATGTCAGACAGTTAATTATTCAGATGCATGACTATATAAGCTTTCACATAATTGCCATTTTCGTTAAATGCATGGGTATTTTCGTCAATGATGTGATATTTATTCGCTTATAATAACTAAACGTGTTCTAGCGTTCATAAATAAAAGTGCTCAGATAATATTTATTTATTCGGCGCGCTAGTTATCTATTTAATATTTATGCTTTTTATATGCTTAGCGTATAGCTAAATTTAATGTTAGCGTCTAGATCTAGAAAAGCTTGAGTAAAGCTTCCACCTAATAATGTATGTAACAGGTGGTCACAGACACTCCTGGCTACCGCAATACAAAATAAAGTTTAGGTTTACTTTTGGCAATAACTTTTTTCATCAAAAACCGACTGATATAGATTTTCTATTTTTGTAAAATTTAAAACATCGAAAGGATATTTGACCCTACCTGCCCTTATTTTATGAATATGAATATTATTAAAAACAAATGTTATATCGTACGTAGTTTCGCAACGCGTACGCACCGACCTCGCCCCCACTCTCCATCTACGGTGCAGCCCCACCCTCATACCCTCACCCTTTCTGCTAGGTGCAGCACACGCGATTTGTGTATAAGGTATTGATATCGACGCCACAGGTCACTTCTCGGCTCGTCTACGCACCGTGCACACATGTCTACACTCCGCTCCTCTTCATCACCTTCGCTCATCGATCGTGTTGCTGCCGTCATGCAGTTAGCTGCATGCATCTCGCAACTCTCGTCGCAGTTTTCACTGCGCGGGAGTTGTAATTTCATTATGAGTATGTCTTTGAAAGTCTACGCTTAGTAGCCGTCTAGTGGACGCGTAACTGTGTCAACTAACCTAGATGGGGCATGATATCATTAACGCATTCAGGCATGAATGATAAGCTACGCTAGTTTGTTTTTTATTGCTCTTAAGTAGCTATAATAAAGTACTTATCAGTATTTATGAGGATGAGAGAGGACTCTGGAATGTCAGACAGTTAATTATTCAGATGCATGACTATATATAGCTTTCACATAATTGCCATTTTCGTTAAATGCATGGGTATTTTCGTCAATGATGTGATATTTAATCGCTTATAATATAGATAATATAGACTAAATGTGTTCTAGCGCTCTTAAATAAGAGTGCTCAGATAATATTTATTTATTTTTCGGCGCGCTAGTTATCAATTTAATATTTATGCTTTTTAAATGCTAAGCGTCTAGCTAAATTTAATGTTAACGTCTAGATCTAGAAAAGCTTGAGTATAGCTTCCACGTAATAATGAATGTAACAGGTGTTCACAGACACTCCTGGCTACCGCAATACGAATTAAAGTTTAGGTATACTACTGGCAATAACTTTTTTCATCTAAAAACCACTGATAAACATTTAATGGATTTTATATTTTAATAAAATTTACAACATCGAAAGGATTATTGACCCTACCTGCCCTTATTTTATGAATATGAATATTATTTAAAGCAAATATTATATTGAACGTAGTTTCGCAACGCGTATTTATGCATTTTATATGCTTAGCGTAAAGCTAAATTTAATGTCAGCGTCTAGATCTAGAAAAGCTTGAGTATAGCTTCCACCTAATAATGTATGTAACAGGTGGTCACAGACACTCCTGGCTACCGCAATACGAATTAAAGTTTAGGTATACTTCTGGCAATAACTTTTTTCATCAAAAACCACTGATATAGATTTTATATTTTGATAAAATTTTCAACATCGAAAGGATTATTGACCATACCTGCCCTTATTTTATGAATATGAATATTATTAAAAACAAATATTATATTGAACGTAGTTTCGCATCGCGTATTGATGCTTTTTATATGCTTAGCATATAGCTAAATTTAATGTTAGCGTCTAGATCTAGAAAAGCTTGAGTATAGCTTCCACCTAATAATGTATGTAACAGGTGGTCACAGACACTCCTGGCTACCGCAATACCAATTAAAGTTAAGGTATACTTCTGGCAATAACTATTTTCATCAAAAAACCACTGATAATCATTTTGAAGATTTTATATTTTAATAAAATTTACAACATCGAAAGGATTATTGACCATACCTACCCTTATTTTATGAATATGAATATTATTAAAAACAAATATTATATTGAACGTAGTTTCGCATCGCGTATTTATGCTTTTTATATGCTTAGCGTATAGCTAAATTTAATGTTACCGTTTAGATCTAGAAAAGCTTGAGTATAGCTTCCACCTAATAGTGTATGTAACAGGTGGTCACAGACACTCCTGGCTACCGCAATACCAATAAAAGTTAAGGTATACTTCTGGCAATAACTTTTTTCATCAAAAAACCACTAATAAACATTTTATAGATTTTATATTTTAATAAAATTTACAACATCGAAAGGATTATTGACACTACCTGCCATTATTTTATGAATATGAATATTATTAAAAACAAATATTATATTGAACGTAGTTTCGAAACGCGTATTTATGCTTTTTATATGCTTAGCGTAAAGCTAAATATAATGTTAGCGTCTAGATTTATAAAAGCTTGAGTAAAGCTTCCACCTAATAATGTATGTAACAGGTGGTCACAGACACTCCTGGCTACCGCAATACGAATTAAAGTTTAGGTATACTTCTGGCAATAACTTTTTTCATCAAAAAACCACTGATAAACATTTTATGGATTTTATATTTTAATAAAATTTACAACATCGAAAGGATTATTGACCCTACCTGCCCTTATTTTATGAATATGAATATTATTTAAAACGAATATTATATTGAACGTAGTTTCGCAACGCGTATTTATGCTTTTTATATGCTTAGCGTAAAGCTAAATTTAATGTTAGCGTCTAGATCTAGAAAAGCTTGAGTAAAGCTTCCACCTAATAATGTATGTAACAGGTGGTCACAGACACTCCTGGCTACCGCAATACGAATTAAAGTTTAGGTATACTTCTGGCAATAACTTTTTTCATCAAAAAACCACTGATAAACATTTTATGGATTTTATATTTTAATAAAATTTACAACATCGAAAGGATTATTGACCCTACCTGCCCTTATTTTATGAATATGAATATTATTTAAAACGAATATTATATTGAACGTAGTTTCGCAACGCGTATTTATGCTTTTTATATGCTTAGCGTATAGCTAAATTTAATGTTACCGTTTAGATCTAGAAAAGCTTGAGTATAGCTTCCACCTAATACTGTATGTAACAGGTGGTCACAGACATTCCTAGCTACCGCAATACGAAATAAAGTTTAGGTTTACTTTTGGCAATAACTTTTTTCATCAAAAACCCACTGATATAGATTTTCTTTTTTAGTAAAATTTAAAACATCGAAAGGATATTTGACCCTACCTGCCCTTATTTTATGAATATGAATATTATTAAAAACAAATGTTATATCGTACGTAGTTTCGCAACGCGTACGCACCGACCTCGCCCCCACTCTCCATCTACGGTGCAGCCCCACCCTCATACCCTCACCCTTTCTGCTAGGTGCAGCACACGCGATTTGTATATAAGGTATTGATATCGACGCCACAGGTCACTTCTCGGCTCGTCTACGCACCGTGCACACATGTCTACACTCCGCTCCTCTTCATCACCTTCGCTCATCGATCGTGTTGCTGCCGTCATGCAGTTAGCTGCATGCTTCTCGCAACTCTCGTCGCAGTTTTCACTGCGCGGGAGTTGTAATTTCATTATGAGTATGTCTTTGAAAGTCTACGCTTAGTAGCCATCTAGTGGACGCGTAACTGTGTCAACTAACCTAGATGGGGCATGATATCATTAACGCATTCAGGCATGAATGATAAGCTACGCTATGTTTTTTTTTATTGCTCTTAAGTAGCTATAATAAAGTCCTTATCAGTATTTATGAGGATGAGAGAGGACTCTGGAATGTCAGACAGTTAATTATTCAGATGCATGACTATATATAGCTTTCACATAATTGCCATTTTCGTTAAATGCATGGGTATTTTCGTCAATGATGTGATATTTAATCGCTTATAATAACTAAATGTGTTCAAGCGCTCTTAAATAAGAGTGCTCAGATAATATTTATTTATTTTTCGGCGCGCTAGTTATCAATTTAATATTTATGCTTTTTAAATGCTAAGCGTCTAGCTAAATTTAATGTTAACGTCTAGATCTAGAAAAGCTTGAGTATAGCTTCCACGTAATAATGTATGTAACAGGTGGTCACAGACACTCCTGGCTACCGCAATACGAATTAAAGTTTAGGCATACTAATGGCAATAACTTTTTTCATCTAAAAACCACTGATAAACATTTTATGGATTTTATATTTTAATAAAATTTACAACATCGAAAGGATTATTGACCCTACCTGCCCTTATTTTATAAATATGAATATTATTAAAAACAAATATTATATTGAACGTAGTTTCGAAACGCGTATTTATGCTTTTTATATGCTTAGCGTAAAGCTAAATTTAATGTTAGCGTCTAGATCTAGAAAAGCTTGAGTATAGCTTCCACCTAATAATGTATGTAACAGGTGGTCACAGACACTCCTGGCTACCGCAATACGAATTAAAGTTTAGGTATACTTCTGGCAATAACTTTTTTCATCAAAAAACCACTGATAAACATTTTATGGATTTTATATTTTAATAAAATTTACAACATCGAAAGGATTATTGACCCTACCTGCCCTTATTTTATTAATATGAATATTATTTAAAACGAATATTATATTGAACGTAGTTTCGCAACGCGTATTTATGCTTTTTATATGCTTAGCGTAAAGCTAAATTTAATGTTAGCGTCTAGATCTAGATAAGCTTGAGTAAAGCTTCCACCTAATAATGTATGTAACAGGTGGTCACAGACACTCCTGGCTACCGCAATACGAATTAATGTTTAGGTATACTTCTGGCAATAACTATTTTCATCAAAAAACCACTGATAATCATTTTGAAGATTTTATATTTTAATAAAATTTACAACATCGAAAGGATTATTGACCATACCTACCCTTATTTTATGAATATTATTAAAAACAAATATTATATTGAATGTAGTTTCGCATCGCGTATTTATGCTTTTATATGCTTAGCGTATAGCTAAATTTAATGTTAGCGTCTAGATTAGCGTAAAGCTAATCTATAAATCTAATCTAATCTATAAAAGCTTGAGTAAAGCTTACACCTAATAATGTATGTAACAGGTGGTCACAGACACTCCTGGCTACCGCAATACGAAATAAAGTTTAGGTTTACTTTTGGCAATAACTTTTTTCATCAAAAACCCACTGATATAGATTTTCTTTTTTAGTAAAATTTAAAACATCGAAAGGATATTTGACCCTACCTGCCCTTATTTTATGAATATGAATATTATTAAAAACAAATGTTATATCGTACGTAGTTTCGCAACGCGTACGCACCGACCTCGCCCCCACTCTCCATCTACGGTGCAGCCCCACCCTCATACCCTCACCCTTTCTGCTAGGTGCAGCACACGCGATTTGTATATAAGGTATTGATATCGACGCCACAGGTCACTTCTCGGCTCGTCTACGCACCGTGCACACATGTCTACACTCCGCTCCTCTTCATCACCTTCGTTCATCGATCGTGTTGCTGCCGTCATGCAGTTAGCTGCATGCTTCTCGCAACTCTCGTCGCAGTTTTCACTGCGCGGGAGTTGTAATTTCATTATGAGTACGTCTTTGAAAGTCTACGCTTAGTAGCCATCTAGTGGACGCGTAACTGTGTCAACTAACCTAGATGGGGCATGATATCATTAACGCATTCAGGCATGAATGATAAGCTACGCTATGTTTTTTTTTATTGCTCTTAAGTAGCTATAATAAAGTCCTTATCAGTATTTATGAGGATGAGAGAGGACTCTGGAATGTCAGACAGTTAATTATTCAGATGCATGACTATATATAGCTTTCACATAATTGCCATTTTCGTTAAATGCATGGGTATTTTCGTCAATGATGTGATATTTAATCGCTTATAATAACTAAATGTGTTCTAGCGCTCTTAAATAAGAGTGCTCAGATAATATTTATTTATTTTTCGGCGCGCTAGTTATCAATTTAATATTTATGCTTTTTAAATGCTAAGCGTCTAGCTAAATTTAATGTTAACGTCTAGATCTAGAAAAGCTTGAGTATAGCTTCATAATCATATCATAATCATTTATTGCATGTCACATAGTATAAAGTTATTCAATAATCAGTACAGTTCATGTGACACCCTGTAAGGGTGTAGCAAATTCAAATTTAATTTCAATTTCAAATAATTTAAATTAAAATACTAATAATAAACATATTAACAAAAAAAAAAAAACAGTTCCTTTTTTTACAGTTTCAGTCCTAAATTAATTAATAAAGTTTTACATTTCCCTAAAACATATATTTTCGTTCGTAATGCCTATTTATCATTAAAAAAAATCGTCAATATTATAATAGCATTTGTCAATGAGGTATGTTTTCAATCAATTAATTAATTTATTTATTTCGAATTTCGTACAAATGAGGTTATTATAAGATGTAAGTATAAGGCATACAAAGTATCTGGCATACAAAATATAGTTAAATTTATATAATTATTAAAAAATAAAATAAAAAATCATGCGAATTCATTAAAATTAAAGACAATTAATACAAGATAGATAAGTAGTCAATTATTAAAAATACAATACATTATTCATTAATACATTACTCATATTTAATAAAATGTCAAGCAATTCACTAAAATTAAAATTAAAATTAAAATTAAATGTACAATTGAATATAAAATAAAAGTATTATTTAAGTTTTTTTTTAAGATAATCAGAGACCGAATAATAACATTTGTCGACTAACCACTGAAACAATTTAAGTTTAAACTGTCTTAAAGGCAGTTCAGCAATTTCTTTGGGTAGATTATTATAAATTCTAACTACCATGGCATAGCTATTCCTGCTATATATTTCCTTTCTTAGATTAGGCATAACTAGCTTAAATGGATATCTAGTTTTAAAGACACAAAACTCATTTTTCTTATGGAATAATTCAGGATGTAATCTAGCAAATTTACAAGCTTCAAAAATATATATACAAGGAAGAGTCAATAGATTTAATTCTTTAAATAAAGGCCTGCAACTAGTTCTGGGTGAAACATCCTTCATTGCTCGAATGCACTGTTTCTGCGCTATAAGCGCTCTGTTTATTCCTACTGAATTGCCCCATAGCAAAACTCCGTATCTTAAGTTAGATGCTACATAGCCGTGATAAGCTTTCTAAGAAGTTTGTAAGTTTGTTAATTTTGTCAGTCTCCAAAGTGCGTATCTAAAGCGATTTATTTTTCCACAAACGTGTTCAATATGATATTTCCAGGAACAGTTTTTATCGATTTTTATGCCCAAGAAAGTAACCTCATCTGATTCAGTCAATTGTAAATTATTGTATGTCAAATCTAAATTAATTTTATTGGCATTTTTATTAAAAAATTGAATATATTTTGTTTTTACTTATGTTAAATCTTAAATTATTTGCTTCCAGCCAGTTCATTACATTAGAGATGCATGCATTTATTTCACTGTTGTAATCTAAATCATTTCTTCTTGAAATAACGATCGACAAATCATCCGCGAATAAGTAACATTTATATTTACAGGATAAAGGAAGGTCATTGATGTAAAGAATGAACAGTAACTGACCCAAAATACTGCCTTGTGGAACACCCACTTCTTTAGGCTTTGATACGTCTGATCTATAAAAGACTTGCTGCATATTGCAGTCAAGTGCAGGTATTTCCACATATTGAGTGCGGTTGCATAAGTAACTTGAAAGCCACTTAAGAGCTATTCCACGGAAGCCATATTTTTCACACTTATTAAGTAGAATATTATGGCACACAAAATCGAACGCTCTTGTCATGTCAAAGAATATAGCTGTGGTATTGTCTTTTCGATTTAGATTTTCTAATAAATTATTCACCAATTTAAATGCTGTTAGTGTAGTGGATTTCCCTTTTTGGAAACCATTCTGTTCAGCGCATAAAATATTATGTTTTTCTATGAAATTTGTCATTCTACTGTGCATGTTTTTTTCAAATATTTTTGACAAAATGGGAATTAAAGCTATTGGCCTATAATTTATTGGATTATTTTTGTCCCCTTTTTTATATAAAGGTTTTATGACAGTTCTTTTAAGATTTTCAGGAAAGATACCTTGAGAAAGAGAAAGATTTATAATATATCTTAATGATGGTGCCAAAACACGAGAGCAATACTTAATGACTTGTGTAGAGATGTTGTCATAACCAGTAGAAGAAGTATCTTTAAGAGACCTAATTATCCGCCGTATTTCATCGTTATCTGTTGGAAGCAAAAAAATGTTTTTGTCGTTTTGTTTTATGTCATGTCTATATGTTTTATTTTTTGTCTCAATATTTGTCATGTCATTAAAATAGCGATCAAATATATTAGCAATGTCAACAGGATTATTAAATTCAATGTCGTTATATATGATTTTAAATTCATTATTATTCAATTTGGTTTCGGATGTGTAATTTTTTATAATTTTCCACGAAGCTGAACAAATATTTTTAGCCTCATTGATGAAACCTACATTTGAAATCCTTTGAGCAGTAAAGATACATTTTTTTAAAATTTTATTGTACCTATTATATTTAATTTTATCCGAAGGACATTTTGTTTTGTGAAATTTAAATCTTAAATTACGCTTTATTTTCGATGATATTTTTAACCCTTTCGATATCCATTTACATTGCTTTGATTTATTATTTAGTTTGATTAGTTTAAAAGGGAAGCATAAATCGTAATACAGTGTAAGATTTTTATGGAAGTTATCAAAAGCCCTATTAACATCTTGTTCACTATAAACATCAAACCACGAAAAACTGTTTATGCAGTTTGTGAATTTTTCCATATTTTCTATATTATAGTCTCTTTTCCGTATGAAATATGGTTTTATTGGAGCTTCTTTATGTGTAGTCGGAAGATGTAACAATTGGCCAGTTTCGTGATCTGATAGACCTAATGGTAAAATTTCTCCAGTGGCATCCTTGACGTTACTTATTATTTGATCAAGACACGCCTTTCGTCTTGTCGGCTTTGTAATATGAATTTCAAATTTATAATTCTGAATTATTCGCCTGTATTCTTCCAATGCTGGCGATTCTTTTAACAGATCAATATTAAAATCACCTGCAATTACTACTTTCTTTTTTACTTTTGTTTGCAGTTTATTTAATACTAATTCAAGCTTATCTAGAAAAACAAAGGGATCACTGGTTGGTATTCTGTACACGCATAGAATAACACAATTATGTTTCAGAATCTCTATGCCACAACATTCAAATTTAAAGTCTGTACTTATTTCTTTTAAAAATGGTAACTTTTTAAATTGTAATTTTTCCCTACAAAGTATACATACACCTCCTCGACTTTCATTCGATCGCGAATACCAATCCGCAATGATTAAGCCACGTATCTTTAAATTTGGTTCATTTCCCAATGAAATAAATGTTTCAGAAAGACACAAAACGTCAATCCTTAACATCTTATAGTTTAAAGAATTTAAGGTAATTTGTATTATGTCTTGTTTATCTAATACACCCGCAATATTTTGGTGTAATATTAATAAGTAAGTATCTTTCTTATTATATAAAAAACTTATTATGGTTCTGTTTATTTTTACTTACTGGAAAATAGTCTAAAATAGTCCTTTTCTTTAAACTCGAAGCGGAATTTGTTATGGAAGCAGAACAGGAACTAGTGCTTTCTATCCCAGTATATTTATGTTTATTCAGGCTTTTATCGCTTATAAATTTCGAATAATTACACATTTTTATGAGTGAAGGAGTTTTTTCTGTTAATTTACTTAATTCGTGTAACATAAGGTTAAATCCTCTACTATTGACTTTTCCAGTAAATGATGAAAACATTCCAAAATCAAGATTTCGGTTGCTATCGTATAATATGCCATAGTAATTTTTTTGCATGTCTCTATAAAGCAAGTTATTGAAATTTTCCACGCGACAATTATATAAAACACTACCACATATGTATGTCGGTACACCAATAATAATGTTTGTTAATAATGAAAGCTTCTCTAATACATTTCTAATATAGCTTACTAGTGAAACATTGCTTTGTGAAACTTTAAAATCTGCATCACCTAAAAGAATAATACAGCAATCCGCTTTTGTGAAGTTCTTTAATTTCGCCTCAATGTTATGGAGTAATTCCAGGACAGTTGCCCCTGGTTTACTATAGTGACAGTACTTAAAACGGTGACGAAAATTTCGATCTAATGGTTCCAAAAATTCATTAGATCTGTGTGATCTGGTGCTCAGAACAATGACATTTCTTTGTCCGGAATCTTGTTGACTGTTTATAATTCCATAACTTGCATCAGTGCTATTATCTTTGTCTTTTATTTTCGAGTGTAGTGTTATCTTCTCAGATTGTTCCATTTTGTTACCTGATTTTTCAATTACGTAGCCTTTTTGAAAACAAACACTTTCGTTTAGTGCTCCTGATTTGTTTAGTTTTGACAATGAAATGTCGTGTTTATTTTTTTTTTATTTTTTTGTACTAGAACATATAGTCAGCAGCTGTTGTTATTTTATTGTCCTTTTCATATATTTCCTTCTTCATCTTATTATTTTCTAAATGTAGATTTTCAATCTCTGAATGAGCTGTTTCAAGTTGTGAGTTTAAGTTCGAAATCGATTCCTTTAATAATATGATTTCGTCATAGTCTCTTGTGGAGAGATCTGGAAGGCTTCTAGCGGCGGTTTGAGAATCCAATGACAAAAATGAGTTGTCATGATCAGATAGCGTTTTAGAGCCAACGTTTGTTGAGGAATCCGAAGCAATCTCTGAATCATTTCGTTTTAAGCAAGTTTTATTTTTGTTTTGTTTCTTTCTTTTAGTTATGTTAGTTTGTGACGTCAAATTTACCACTTCGTTAGATATCTTGTCTGTTTTCTGTTGTATAATTGGTGTACTTGTTGAGCTTTTTTGAGATAGAGTTGTTTTTTTCTGTATACACTTATCACATCTCCATTTTTGTCTCGCATCTACTGTCATTAAATAATAAATCTTTTCAGAAACGTTTCCACAGTATAAGTCAAATACTTTTTTAAAAATTGTGCATTTTAGGTACTCTTTCTTTGTATCTTTCTTGCAAGTTGTACAGTAATTCGTATTTGTGTTTTTTTTACATTTATCTTAGAAACCGATGCATGTGACATTCTGGTATGTATAATGTCGTAATGTTCTGTTAAAGATAATATTAAAATCTAAATTTATTTTCCTTCTTAAAAAATAAATTATCGACAATTACTACAATTTATGTGCCCTAGCGAGATTCGAACCTGGTGCGCTTGATAACACATGCGACGTACACAACACCGCGCCACGCAGTTAACGTCAAAGGTGCTCAATTTTTGATACGTATGGAAATACAATACGACTAAAGTTACTTCTATTCTGTTTTACCGACACAATAAATGACTTGGCTCACTTGCTCTGCTTATACCAATTGTTACCGCTGATGGGTAGATGTCGCTGCTCTGTTCTTCTTGATGTAAGTAAAACAGTGCCAAAATTTAAAAATGAACTGTTGTAATTGATAATTATAGGATTTTATTTTTTATTAACCGCTTTAATAGTTTGTCCAAACCTTTTTTGTGTAGTCAGAACATGTAATACATGTTTTCTTGATTCTTTTTCTAAACAGTGCACCCATGAATCCTTAAATTTGCAAGAAGTAACTTTCACTATTTTCTTCAAATAGGCATTGATTTAAGGCAGATATTCTTAGATAACGTTATCACTAGATTATTAGCACTCACTTAACATTTTCTCACGTATGTATATGAATCTATGCATTAATTATAATTTTAATAACAAAAACAATAATCAGCTGATGTTGACGCCGGCACACTAGCGCCAATTTCCACATAATAATGTATGTAACAGGTGGTCACAGACACTCCTGGCTACCGCAATACGAATTAAAGTTTAGGCATACTACTGGCAATAACTTTTTTCATCTAAAAACCACTGATAAACATTTTATGGATTTTATATTTTAATAAAATTTACAACATCGAAAGGATTATTGACCCCACCTGCCATTATTTTATGAATATGAATATTATTAAAAACAAATATTATATTGAACGTAGTTTCGAAACGCGTATTTATGCTTTTTATATGCTTAGCGTAAAGCTAAATTTAATGTTAGCGTCTACCTGACCTACCTGTAAAACCACTGATAAACATTTTATGGATTTTATATATTTTAATAAAATTTACAACATCGAAAGGATTATTGACCCTACCTGCCCTTATTTTATGAATATGAATATTATTTAAAACAAATATTATATTGAACGTAGTTTCGCAACGCGTATTTATGCTTTTTATATGCTCAGCGTAGAGCTAAATTTAATGTTAGCGTCTAGATCTAGAAAAGCTTGAGTATAGCTTCCACCTAATACTGTATGTAACAGGTGGTCACAGACACTCCTGGCTACCGCAATACGAATTAAAGTGTAGGTATACTTCTGGCGATAACTTTTTTCATCAAAAAACCACTGATATAGATTTTATATTTTGATAAAATTCACAACATCGAAAGGATTATTGACCCTACCTGCCCTTATTTTATGAATATGAATATTATTAAAAACATATATTTTATTGAACGTAATTTCGCAACGCGTATTTATGCTTTTTATATACTTAGCGTATAGCTAAATTTAATGTTACCGTTTAGATCTAGAAAAGCTTGAGTATAGCTTCCACCTAATACTGTATGTAACAGGTGGTCACAGACATTCCTGGCTACCGCAATACGAAATAAAGTTTAGGTTTACTTTTGGCAATAACTTTTTTCATCAAAAACCCACTGATATAGATTTTCTTTTTTAGTAAAATTTAAAACATCGAAAGGATATTTGACCCTACCTGCCCTTATTTTATGAATATGAATATTATTAAAAACAAATGTTATATCGTACGTAGTTTCGCAACGCGTACGCACCGACCTCGCCCCCACTCTCCATCTACGGTGCAGCCCCACCCTCATACCCTCACCCTTTCTGCTAGGTGCAGCACACGCGATTTGTATATAAGATATTGATATCGACACCACAGGTCACTTCTCGGCTCGTCTACGCACCGTGCACACATGTCTACACTCCGCTCCTCTTCATCACCTTCGCTCATCGATCGTGTTGCTGCCGTCATGCAGTTAGCTGCATGCTTCTCGCAACTCTCGTCGCAGTTTTCACTGCGCGGGAGTTGTAATTTCATTATGAGTATGTCTTTGAAAGTCTACGCTTAGTAGCCATCTAGTGGACGCGTAACTGTGTCAACTAACCTAGATGGGGCATGATATCATTAACGCATTCAGGCATGAATGATAAGCTACGCTATGTTTTTTTTTATTGCTCTTAAGTAGCTATAATAAAGTTCTTATCAGTATTTATGAGGATGAGAGAGGACTCTGGAATGTCAGACAGTTAATTATTCAGATGCATGACTATATATAGCTTTCACATAATTGCCATTTTCGTTAAATGCATGGGTATTTTCGTCAATGATGTGATATTTAATCGCTTATAATAACTAAATGTGTTCAAGCACTCTTGAATAAGAGTGCTCAGATAATATTTATTTATTTTTCGGCGCGCTAGTTATCAATTTAATATTTATGCTTTTTAAATGCTAAGCGTCTAGCTAAATTTAATGTTAACGTCTAGATCTAGAAAAGCTTGAGTATAGCTTCCACGTAATAATGTATGTAACAGGTGGTCACAGACACTCCTGGCTACCGCAATACGAATTAAAGTTTAGGCATACTAATGGCAATAACTTTTTTCATCTAAAAACCACTGATAAACATTTTATGGATTTTATATTTTAATAAAATTTACAACATCGAAAGGATTATTGACCCTACCTGCCCTTATTTTATAAATATGAATATTATTAAAAACAAATATTATATTGAACGTAGTTTCGAAACGCGTATTTATGCTTTTTATATGCTTAGCGTAAAGCTAAATTTAATGTTAGCGTCTAGATCTAGAAAAGCTTGAGTATAGCTTCCACCTAATAATGTATGTAACAGGTGGTCACAGACACTCCTGGCTACCGCAATACGAATTAAAGTTTAGGTATACTTCTGGCAATAACTTTTTTCATCAAAAAACCACTGATAAACATTTTATGGATTTTATATTTTAATAAAATTTACAACATCGAAAGGATTATTGACCCTACCTGCCCTTATTTTATTAATATGAATATTATTTAAAACGAATATTATATTGAACGTAGTTTCGCAACGCGTATTTATGCTTTTTATATGCTTAGCGTAAAGCTAAATTTAATGTTAGCGTCTAGATCTAGAAAAGCTTGAGTAAAGCTTCCACCTAATAATGTATGTAACAGGTGGTCACAGACACTCCTGGCTACCGCAATACGAATTAATGTTTAGGTATACTTCTGGCAATAACTATTTTCATCAAAAAACCACTGATAATCATTTTGAAGATTTTATATTTTAATAAAATTTACAACATCGAAAGGATTATTGACCATACCTACCCTTATTTTATGAATATTATTAAAAACAAATATTATATTGAATGTAGTTTCGCATCGCGTATTTATGCTTTTATATGCTTAGCGTATAGCTAAATTTAATGTTAGCGTCTAGATTAGCGTAAAGCTAATCTATAAATCTAATCTAATCTATAAAAGCTTGAGTAAAGCTTACACCTAATAATGTATGTAACAGGTGGTCACAGACACTCCTGGCTACCGCAATACGAAATAAAGTTTAGGTTTGCTTTTGGCAATAACTTTTTTCATCAAAAACCCACTGATATAGATTTTCTTTTTTAGTAAAATTTAAAACATCGAAAGGATATTTGACCCTACCTGCCCTTATTTTATGAATATGAATATTATTAAAAACAAATGTTATATCGTACGTAGTTTCGCAACGCGTACGCACCGACCTCGCCCCCACTCTCCATCTACGGTGCAGCCCCACCCTCATACCCTCACCCTTTCTGCTAGGTGCAGCACACGCGATTTGTATATAAGGTATTGATATCGACGCCACAGGTCACTTCTCGGCTCGTCTACGCACCGTGCACACATGTCTACACTCCGCTCCTCTTCATCACCTTCGTTCATCGATCGTGTTGCTGCCGTCATGCAGTTAGCTGCATGCTTCTCGCAACTCTCGTCGCAGTTTTCACTGCGCGGGAGTTGTAATTTCATTATTAGTACGTCTTTGAAAGTCTACGCTTAGTAGCCATCTAGTGGACGCGTAACTGTGTCAACTAACCTAGATGGGGCATGATATCATTAACGCATTCAGGCATGAATGATAAGCTACGCTATGTTTTTTTTTATTGCTCTTAAGTAGCTATAATAAAGTCCTTATCAGTATTTATGAGGATGAGAGAGGACTCTGGAATGTCAGACAGTTAATTATTCAGATGCATGACTATATATAGCTTTCACATAATTGCCATTTTCGTTAAATGCATGGGTATTTTCGTCAATGATGTGATATTTAATCGCTTATAATAACTAAATGTGTTCTAGCGCTCTTAAATAAGAGTGCTCAGATAATATTTATTTATTTTTCGGCGCGCTAGTTATCAATTTAATATTTATGCTTTTTAAATGCTAAGCGTCTAGCTAAATTTAATGTTAACGTCTAGATCTAGAAAAGCTTGAGTATAGCTTCATAATCATATCATAATCATTTATTGCATGTCACATAGTATAAAGTTATTCAATAATCAGTACAGTTCATGTGACACCCTGTAAGGGTGTAGCAAATTCAAATTTAATTTCAATTTCAAATAATTTAAATTAAAATACTAATAATAAACATATTAACAAAAAAAAAAAAAAAAACAGTTCCTTTTTTTACAGTTTCAGTCCTAAATTAATTAATAAAGTTTTACATTTCCCTAAAACATATATTTTCGTTCGTAATGCCTATTTATCATTAAAAAAAATCGTCAATATTATAATAGCATTTGTCAATGAGGTATGTTTTCAATCAATTAATTAATTTATTTATTTCGAATTTCGTACAAATGAGGTTATTATAAGATGTAAGTATAAGGCATACAAAGTATCTGGCATACAAAATATAGTTAAATTTATATAATTATTAAAAAATAAAATAATAAATCATGCGAATTCATTAAAATTAAAGACAATTGATACAAGATAGATAAGTAGTCAATTATTAAAAATACAATACATTATTCATTAATACATTACTCATATTTAATAAAATGTCAAGCAATTCACTAAAATTAAAATTAAAATTAAATGTACAATTGAATATAAAATAAAAGTATTATTTAAGTTTTTTTTAAGATAATCAGAGACCGAATAATAACATTTGTCGACTAACCACTGAAACAATTTAAGTTTAAACTGTCTTAAAGGCAGTTCAGCAATTTCTTTGGGTAGATTATTATAAATTCTAACTACCATGGCATAGCTATTCCTGCTATATATTTCCTTTCTTAGATTAGGCATAACTAGCTTAAATGGATATCTAGTTTTAAAGACACAAAACTCATTTTTCTTATGGAATAATTCAGGATGTAATCTAGCAAATTTACAAGCTTCAAAAATATATATACAAGGAAGAGTCAATAGATTTAATTCTTTAAATAAAGGCCTGCAACTAGTTCTGGGTGAAACATCCTTCATTGCTCGAATGCACTGTTTCTGCGCTATAAGCGCTCTGTTTATTCCTACTGAATTGCCCCATAGCAAAACTCCGTATCTTAAGTTAGATGCTACATAGCCGTGATAAGCTTTCTAAGAAGTTTGTAAGTTTGTTAATTTTGTCAGTCTCCAAAGTGCGTATCTAAAGCGATTTATTTTTCCACAAACGTGTTCAATATGATATTTCCAGGAACAGTTTTTATCGATTTTTATGCCCAAGAAAGTAACCTCATCTGATTCAGTCAATTGTAAATTATTGTATGTCAAATCTAAATTAATTTTATTGGCATTTTTATTAAAAAATTGAATATATTTTGTTTTTACTTATGTTAAATCTTAAATTATTTGCTTCCAGCCAGTTCATTACATTAGAGATGCATGCATTTATTTCACTGTTGTAATCTAAATCATTTCTTCTTGAAATAACGATCGACAAATCATCCGCGAATAAGTAACATTTATATTTACAGGATAAAGGAAGGTCATTGATGTAAAGAATGAACAGTAACTGACCCAAAATACTGCCTTGTGGAACACCCACTTCTTTAGGCTTTGATACGTCTGATCTATAAAAGACTTGCTGCATATTGCAGTCAAGTGCAGGTATTTCCACATATTGAGTGCGGTTGCATAAGTAACTTGAAAGCCACTTAAGAGCTATTCCACGGAAGCCATATTTTTCACACTTATTAAGTAGAATATTATGGCACACAAAATCGAACGCTCTTGTCATGTCAAAGAATATAGCTGTGGTATTGTCTTTTCGATTTAGATTTTCTAATAAATTATTCACCAATTTAAATGCTGTTAGTGTAGTGGATTTCCCTTTTTGGAAACCATTCTGTTCAGCGCATAAAATATTATGTTTTTCTATGAAATTTGTCATTCTACTGTGCATGTTTTTTTCAAATATTTTTGACAAAATGGGAATTAAAGCTATTGGCCTATAATTTATTGGATTATTTTTGTCCCCTTTTTTATATAAAGGTTTTATGACAGTTCTTTTAAGATTTTCAGGAAAGATACCTTGAGAAAGAGAAAGATTTATAATATATCTTAATGATGGTGCCAAAACACGAGAGCAATACTTAATGACTTGTGTAGAGATGTTGTCATAACCAGTAGAAGAAGTATCTTTAAGAGACCTAATTATCCGCCGTATTTCATCGTTATCTGTTGGAAGCAAAAAAATGTTTTTGTCGTTTTGTTTTATGTCATGTCTATATGTTTTATTTTTTGTCTCAATATTTGTCATGTCATTAAAATAGCGATCAAATATATTAGCAATGTCAACAGGATTATTAAATTCAATGTCGTTATATATGATTTTAAATTCATTATTATTCAATTTGGTTTCGGATGTGTAATTTTTTATAATTTTCCACGAAGCTGAACAAATATTTTTAGCCTCATTGATGAAACCTACATTTGAAATCCTTTGAGCAGTAAAGATACATTTTTTTAAAATTTTATTGTACCTATTATATTTAATTTTATCCGAAGGACATTTTGTTTTGTGAAATTTAAATCTTAAATTACGCTTTATTTTCGATGATATTTTTAACCCTTTCGATATCCATTTACATTGCTTTGATTTATTATTTAGTTTGATTAGTTTAAAAGGGAAGCATAAATCGTAATACAGTGTAAGATTTTTATGGAAGTTATCAAAAGCCCTATTAACATCTTGTTCACTATAAACATCAAACCACGAAAAACTGTTTATGCAGTTTGTGAATTTTTCCATATTTTCTATATTATAGTCTCTTTTCCGTATGAAATATGGTTTTATTGGAGCTTCTTTATGTGTAGTCGGAAGATGTAACAATTGGCCAGTTTCGTGATCTGATAGACCTAATGGTAAAATTTCTCCAGTGGCATCCTTGACGTTACTTATTATTTGATCAAGACACGCCTTTCGTCTTGTCGGCTTTGTAATATGAATTTCAAATTTATAATTCTGAATTATTCGCCTGTATTCTTCCAATGCTGGCGATTCTTTTAACAGATCAATATTAAAATCACCTGCAATTACTACTTTCTTTTTTACTTTTGTTTGCAGTTTATTTAATACTAATTCAAGCTTATCTAGAAAAACAAAGGGATCACTGGTTGGTATTCTGTACACGCATAGAATAACACAATTATGTTTCAGAATCTCTATGCCACAACATTCAAATTTAAAGTCTGTACTTATTTCTTTTAAAAATGGTAACTTTTTAAATTGTAATTTTTCCCTACAAAGTATACATACACCTCCTCGACTTTCATTCGATCGCGAATACCAATCCGCAATGATTAAGCCACGTATCTTTAAATTTGGTTCATTTCCCAATGAAATAAATGTTTCAGAAAGACACAAAACGTCAATCCTTAACATCTTATAGTTTAAAGAATTTAAGGTAATTTGTATTATGTCTTGTTTATCTAATACACCCGCAATATTTTGGTGTAATATTAATAAGTAAGTATCTTTCTTATTATATAAAAAACTTATTATGGTTCTGTTTATTTTTACTTACTGGAAAATAGTCTAAAATAGTCCTTTTCTTTAAACTCGAAGCGGAATTTGTTATGGAAGCAGAACAGGAACTAGTGCTTTCTATCCCAGTATATTTATGTTTATTCAGGCTTTTATCGCTTATAAATTTCGAATAATTACACATTTTTATGAGTGAAGGAGTTTTTTCTGTTAATTTACTTAATTCGTGTAACATAAGGTTAAATCCTCTACTATTGACTTTTCCAGTAAATGATGAAAACATTCCAAAATCAAGATTTCGGTTGCTATCGTATAATATGCCATAGTAATTTTTTTGCATGTCTCTATAAAGCAAGTTATTGAAATTTTCCACGCGACAATTATATAAAACACTACCACATATGTATGTCGGTACACCAATAATAATGTTTGTTAATAATGAAAGCTTCTCTAATACATTTCTAATATAGCTTACTAGTGAAACATTGCTTTGTGAAACTTTAAAATCTGCATCACCTAAAAGAATAATACAGCAATCCGCTTTTGTGAAGTTCTTTAATTTCGCCTCAATGTTATGGAGTAATTCCAGGACAGTTGCCCCTGGTTTACTATAGTGACAGTACTTAAAACGGTGACGAAAATTTCGATCTAATGGTTCCAAAAATTCATTAGATCTGTGTGATCTGGTGCTCAGAACAATGACATTTCTTTGTCCGGAATCTTGTTGACTGTTTATAATTCCATAACTTGCATCAGTGCTATTATCTTTGTCTTTTATTTTCGAGTGTAGTGTTATCTTCTCAGATTGTTCCATTTTGTTACCTGATTTTTCAATTACGTAGCCTTTTTGAAAACAAACACTTTCGTTTAGTGCTCCTGATTTGTTTAGTTTTGACAATGAAATGTCGTGTTTATTTTTTTTTTATTTTTTTGTACTAGAACATATAGTCAGCAGCTGTTGTTATTTTATTGTCCTTTTCATATATTTCCTTCTTCATCTTATTATTTTCTAAATGTAGATTTTCAATCTCTGAATGAGCTGTTTCAAGTTGTGAGTTTAAGTTCGAAATCGATTCCTTTAATAATATGATTTCGTCATAGTCTCTTGTGGAGAGATCTGGAAGGCTTCTAGCGGCGGTTTGAGAATCCAATGACAAAAATGAGTTGTCATGATCAGATAGCGTTTTAGAGCCAACGTTTGTTGAGGAATCCGAAGCAATCTCTGAATCATTTCGTTTTAAGCAAGTTTTATTTTTGTTTTGTTTCTTTCTTTTAGTTATGTTAGTTTGTGACGTCAAATTTACCACTTCGTTAGATATCTTGTCTGTTTTCTGTTGTATAATTGGTGTACTTGTTGAGCTTTTTTGAGATAGAGTTGTTTTTTTCTGTATACACTTATCACATCTCCATTTTTGTCTCGCATCTACTGTCATTAAATAATAAATCTTTTCAGAAACGTTTCCACAGTATAAGTCAAATACTTTTTTAAAAATTGTGCATTTTAGGTACTCTTTCTTTGTATCTTTCTTGCAAGTTGTACAGTAATTCGTATTTGTGTTTTTTTTACATTTATCTTAGAAACCGATGCATGTGACATTCTGGTATGTATAATGTCGTAATGTTCTGTTAAAGATAATATTAAAATCTAAATTTATTTTCCTTCTTAAAAAATAAATTATCGACAATTACTACAATTTATGTGCCCTAGCGAGATTCGAACCTGGTGCGCTTGATAACACATGCGACGTACACAACACCGCGCCACGCAGTTAACGTCAAAGGTGCTCAATTTTTGATACGTATGGAAATACAATACGACTAAAGTTACTTCTATTCTGTTTTACCGACACAATAAATGACTTGGCTCACTTGCTCTGCTTATACCAATTGTTACCGCTGATGGGTAGATGTCGCTGCTCTGTTCTTCTTGATGTAAGTAAAACAGTGCCAAAATTTAAAAATGAACTGTTGTAATTGATAATTATAGGATTTTATTTTTTATTAACCGCTTTAATAGTTTGTCCAAACCTTTTTTGTGTAGTCAGAACATGTAATACATGTTTTCTTGATTCTTTTTCTAAACAGTGCACCCATGAATCCTTAAATTTGCAAGAAGTAACTTTCACTATTTTCTTCAAATAGGCATTGATTTAAGGCAGATATTCTTAGATAACGTTATCACTAGATTATTAGCACTCACTTAACATTTTCTCACGTATGTATATGAATCTATGCATTAATTATAATTTTAATAACAAAAACAATAATCAGCTGATGTTGACGCCGGCACACTAGCGCCAATTTCCACATAATAATGTATGTAACAGGTGGTCACAGACACTCCTGGCTACCGCAATACGAATTAAAGTTTAGGCATACTACTGGCAATAACTTTTTTCATCTAAAAACCACTGATAAACATTTTATGGATTTTATATTTTAATAAAATTTACAACATCGAAAGGATTATTGACCCCACCTGCCATTATTTTATGAATATGAATATTATTAAAAACAAATATTATATTGAACGTAGTTTCGAAACGCGTATTTATGCTTTTTATATGCTTAGCGTAAAGCTAAATTTAATGTTAGCGTCTACCTGACCTACCTGTAAAACCACTGATAAACATTTTATGGATTTTATATATTTTAATAAAATTTACAACATCGAAAGGATTATTGACCCTACCTGCCCTTATTTTATGAATATGAATATTATTTAAAACAAATATTATATTGAACGTAGTTTCGCAACGCGTATTTATGCTTTTTATATGCTCAGCGTAGAGCTAAATTTAATGTTAGCGTCTAGATCTAGAAAAGCTTGAGTATAGCTTCCACCTAATACTGTATGTAACAGGTGGTCACAGACACTCCTGGCTACCGCAATACGAATTAAAGTGTAGGTATACTTCTGGCGATAACTTTTTTCATCAAAAAACCACTGATATAGATTTTATATTTTGATAAAATTCACAACATCGAAAGGATTATTGACCCTACCTGCCCTTATTTTATGAATATGAATATTATTAAAAACATATATTTTATTGAACGTAATTTCGCAACGCGTATTTATGCTTTTTATATACTTAGCGTATAGCTAAATTTAATGTTACCGTTTAGATCTAGAAAAGCTTGAGTATAGCTTCCACCTAATACTGTATGTAACAGGTGGTCACAGACATTCCTGGCTACCGCAATACGAAATAAAGTTTAGGTTTACTTTTGGCAATAACTTTTTTCATCAAAAACCCACTGATATAGATTTTCTTTTTTAGTAAAATTTAAAACATCGAAAGGATATTTGACCCTACCTGCCCTTATTTTATGAATATGAATATTATTAAAAACAAATGTTATATCGTACGTAGTTTCGCAACGCGTACGCACCGACCTCGCCCCCACTCTCCATCTACGGTGCAGCCCCACCCTCATACCCTCACCCTTTCTGCTAGGTGCAGCACACGCGATTTGTATATAAGATATTGATATCGACACCACAGGTCACTTCTCGGCTCGTCTACGCACCGTGCACACATGTCTACACTCCGCTCCTCTTCATCACCTTCGCTCATCGATCGTGTTGCTGCCGTCATGCAGTTAGCTGCATGCTTCTCGCAACTCTCGTCGCAGTTTTCACTGCGCGGGAGTTGTAATTTCATTATGAGTATGTCTTTGAAAGTCTACGCTTAGTAGCCATCTAGTGGACGCGTAACTGTGTCAACTAACCTAGATGGGGCATGATATCATTAACGCATTCAGGCATGAATGATAAGCTACGCTATGTTTTTTTTTATTGCTCTTAAGTAGCTATAATAAAGTTCTTATCAGTATTTATGAGGATGAGAGAGGACTCTGGAATGTCAGACAGTTAATTATTCAGATGCATGACTATATATAGCTTTCACATAATTGCCATTTTCGTTAAATGCATGGGTATTTTCGTCAATGATGTGATATTTAATCGCTTATAATAACTAAATGTGTTCAAGCACTCTTGAATAAGAGTGCTCAGATAATATTTATTTATTTTTCGGCGCGCTAGTTATCAATTTAATATTTATGCTTTTTAAATGCTAAGCGTCTAGCTAAATTTAATGTTAACGTCTAGATCTAGAAAAGCTTGAGTATAGCTTCCACGTAATAATGTATGTAACAGGTGGTCACAGACACTCCTGGCTACCGCAATACGAATTAAAGTTTAGGCATACTAATGGCAATAACTTTTTTCATCTAAAAACCACTGATAAACATTTTATGGATTTTATATTTTAATAAAATTTACAACATCGAAAGGATTATTGACCCTACCTGCCCTTATTTTATAAATATGAATATTATTAAAAACAAATATTATATTGAACGTAGTTTCGAAACGCGTATTTATGCTTTTTATATGCTTAGCGTAAAGCTAAATTTAATGTTAGCGTCTAGATCTAGAAAAGCTTGAGTATAGCTTCCACCTAATAATGTATGTAACAGGTGGTCACAGACACTCCTGGCTACCGCAATACGAATTAAAGTTTAGGTATACTTCTGGCAATAACTTTTTTCATCAAAAAACCACTGATAAACATTTTATGGATTTTATATTTTAATAAAATTTACAACATCGAAAGGATTATTGACCCTACCTGCCCTTATTTTATTAATATGAATATTATTTAAAACGAATATTATATTGAACGTAGTTTCGCAACGCGTATTTATGCTTTTTATATGCTTAGCGTAAAGCTAAATTTAATGTTAGCGTCTAGATCTAGAAAAGCTTGAGTAAAGCTTCCACCTAATAATGTATGTAACAGGTGGTCACAGACACTCCTGGCTACCGCAATACGAATTAATGTTTAGGTATACTTCTGGCAATAACTATTTTCATCAAAAAACCACTGATAATCATTTTGAAGATTTTATATTTTAATAAAATTTACAACATCGAAAGGATTATTGACCATACCTACCCTTATTTTATGAATATTATTAAAAACAAATATTATATTGAATGTAGTTTCGCATCGCGTATTTATGCTTTTATATGCTTAGCGTATAGCTAAATTTAATGTTAGCGTCTAGATTAGCGTAAAGCTAATCTATAAATCTAATCTAATCTATAAAAGCTTGAGTAAAGCTTACACCTAATAATGTATGTAACAGGTGGTCACAGACACTCCTGGCTACCGCAATACGAAATAAAGTTTAGGTTTGCTTTTGGCAATAACTTTTTTCATCAAAAACCCACTGATATAGATTTTCTTTTTTAGTAAAATTTAAAACATCGAAAGGATATTTGACCCTACCTGCCCTTATTTTATGAATATGAATATTATTAAAAACAAATGTTATATCGTACGTAGTTTCGCAACGCGTACGCACCGACCTCGCCCCCACTCTCCATCTACGGTGCAGCCCCACCCTCATACCCTCACCCTTTCTGCTAGGTGCAGCACACGCGATTTGTATATAAGGTATTGATATCGACGCCACAGGTCACTTCTCGGCTCGTCTACGCACCGTGCACACATGTCTACACTCCGCTCCTCTTCATCACCTTCGTTCATCGATCGTGTTGCTGCCGTCATGCAGTTAGCTGCATGCTTCTCGCAACTCTCGTCGCAGTTTTCACTGCGCGGGAGTTGTAATTTCATTATGAGTACGTCTTTGAAAGTCTACGCTTAGTAGCCATCTAGTGGACGCGTAACTGTGTCAACTAACCTAGATGGGGCATGATATCATTAACGCATTCAGGCATGAATGATAAGCTACGCTATGTTTTTTTTTATTGCTCTTAAGTAGCTATAATAAAGTCCTTATCAGTATTTATGAGGATGAGAGAGAACTCTGGAATGTCAGACAGTTAATTATTCAGATGCATGACTATATATAGCTTTCACATAATTGCCATTTTCGTTAAATGCATGGGTATTTTCGTCAATGATGTGATATTTAATCGCTTATAATAACTAAATGTGTTCTAGCGCTCTTAAATAAGAGTGCTCAGATAATATTTATTTATTTTTCGGCGCGCTAGTTATCAATTTAATATTTATGCTTTTTAAATGCTAAGCGTCTAGCTAAATTTAATGTTAACGTCTAGATCTAGAAAAGCTTGAGTATAGCTTCATAATCATATCATAATCATTTATTGCATGTCACATAGTATAAAGTTATTCAATAATCAGTACAGTTCATGTGACACCCTGTAAGGGTGTAGCAAATTCAAATTTAATTTCAATTTCAAATAATTTAAATTAAAATACTAATAATAAACATATTAACAAAAAAAAAAAAACAGTTCCTTTTTTTACAGTTTCAGTCCTAAATTAATTAATAAAGTTTTACATTTCCCTAAAACATATATTTTCGTTCGTAATGCCTATTTATCATTAAAAAAAATCGTCAATATTATAATAGCATTTGTCAATGAGGTATGTTTTCAATCAATTAATTAATTTATTTATTTCGAATTTCGTACAAATGAGGTTATTATAAGATGTAAGTATAAGGCATACAAAGTATCTGGCATACAAAATATAGTTAAATTTATATAATTATTAAAAAATAAAATAAAAAATCATGCGAATTCATTAAAATTAAAGACAATTGATACAAGATAGATAAGTAGTCAATTATTAAAAATACAATACATTATTCATTAATACATTACTCATATTTAATAAAATGTCAAGCAATTCACTAAAATTAAAATTAAAATTAAATGTACAATTGAATATAAAATAAAAGTATTATTTAAGATAATCAGAGACCGAATAATAACATTTGTCGACTAACCACTGAAACAATTTAAGTTTAAGCTGTCTTAAAGGCAGTTCAGCAATTTCTTTGGGTAGATTATTATAAATTCTAACTACCATGGCATAGCTATTCCTGCTATATATTTCCTTTCTTAGATTAGGCATAACTAGCTTAAATGGATATCTAGTTTTAAAGACACAAAACTCATTTTTCTTATGGAATAATTCAGGATGTAATCTAGCAAATTTACAAGCTTCAAAAATATATATACAAGGAAGAGTCAATAGATTTAATTCTTTAAATAAAGGCCTGCAACTAGTTCTGGGTGAAACATCCTTCATTGCTCGAATGCACTGTTTCTGCGCTATAAGCGCTCTGTTTATTCCTACTGAATTGCCCCATAGCAAAACTCCGTATCTTAAGTTAGATGCTACATAGCCGTGATAAGCTTTCTAAGAAGTTTGTAAGTTTGTTAATTTTGTCAGTCTCCAAAGTGCGTATCTAAAGCGATTTATTTTTCCACAAACGTGTTCAATATGATATTTCCAGGAACAGTTTTTATCGATTTTTATGCCCAAGAAAGTAACCTCATCTGATTCAGTCAATTGTAAATTATTGTATGTCAAATCTAAATTAATTTTATTGGCATTTTTATTAAAAAATTGAATATATTTTGTTTTTACTTATGTTAAATCTTAAATTATTTGCTTCCAGCCAGTTCATTACATTAGAGATGCATGCATTTATTTCACTGTTGTAATCTAAATCATTTCTTCTTGAAATAACGATCGACAAATCATCCGCGAATAAGTAACATTTATATTTACAGGATAAAGGAAGGTCATTGATGTAAAGAATGAACAGTAACTGACCCAAAATACTGCCTTGTGGAACACCCACTTCTTTAGGCTTTGATACGTCTGATCTATAAAAGACTTGCTGCATATTGCAGTCAAGTGCAGGTATTTCCACATATTGAGTGCGGTTGCATAAGTAACTTGAAAGCCACTTAAGAGCTATTCCACGGAAGCCATATTTTTCACACTTATTAAGTAGAATATTATGGCACACAAAATCGAACGCTCTTGTCATGTCAAAGAATATAGCTGTGGTATTGTCTTTTCGATTTAGATTTTCTAATAAATTATTCACCAATTTAAATGCTGTTAGTGTAGTGGATTTCCCTTTTTGGAAACCATTCTGTTCAGCGCATAAAATATTATGTTTTTCTATGAAATTTGTCATTCTACTGTGCATGATTTTTTCAAATATTTTTGACAAGATGGGAATTAAAGCTATTGGCCTATAATTTATTGGATTATTTTTGTCCCCTTTTTTATATAAAGGTTTTATGACAGTTCTTTTAAGATTTTCAGGAAAGATACCTTGAGAAAGAGAAAGATTTATAATATATCTTAATGATGGTGCCAAAACACGAGAGCAATACTTAATGACTTGTGTAGAGATGTTGTCATAACCAGTAGAAGAAGTATCTTTAAGAGACCTAATTATCCGCCGTATTTCATCGTTATCTGTTGGAAGCAAAAAAATGTTTTTGTCGTTTTGTTTTATGTCATGTCTATATGTTTTATTTTTTGTCTCAATATTTGTCATGTCATTAAAATAGCGATCAAATATATTAGCAATGTCAACAGGATTATTAAATTCAATGTCGTTATATATGATTTTAAATTCATTATTATTCAATTTGGTTTCGGATGTGTAATTTTTTATAATTTTCCACGAAGCTGAACAAATATTTTTAGCCTCATTGATGAAACCTACATTTGAAATCCTTTGAGCAGTAAAGATACATTTTTTTAAAATTTTATTGTACCTATTATATTTAATTTTATCCGAAGGACATTTTGTTTTGTGAAATTTAAATCTTAAATTACGCTTTATTTTCGATGATATTTTTAACCCTTTCGATATCCATTTGCATTGCTTTGATTTATTATTTAGTTTGATTAGTTTAAAAGGGAAGCATAAATCGTAATACAGTGTAAGATTTTTATGGAAGTTATCAAAAGCCCTATTAACATCTTGTTCACTATAAACATCAAACCACGAAAAACTGTTTATGCAGTTTGTGAATTTTTCCATATTTTCTATATTATAGTCTCTTTTCCGTATGAAATATGGTTTTATTGGAGCTTCTTTATGTGTAGTCGGAAGATGTAACAATTGGCCAGTTTCGTGATCTGATAGACCTAATGGTAAAATTTCTCCAGTGGCATCCTTGACGTTACTTTTTATTTGATCAAGACACGCCTTTCGTCTTGTCGGCTTTGTAATATGAATTTCAAATTTATAATTCTGAATTATTCGCCTGTATTCTTCCAATGCTGGCGATTCTTTTAACAGATCAATATTAAAATCACCTTCAATTACTACTTTCTTTTTTACTTTTGTTTGCAGTTTATTTAATACTAATTCAAGCTTATCTAGAAAAACAAAGGGATCACTGGTTGGTATTCTGTACACGCATAGAATAACACAATTATGTTTCAGAATCTCTATGCCACAACATTCAAATTTAAAGTCTGTACTTATTTCTTTTAAAAATGGTAACTTTTTAAATTGTAATTTTTCCCTACAAAGTAAACATACACCTCCTCGACTTTCATTCGATCGCGAATACCAATCCGCAATGATTAAGCCACGTATCTTTAAATTTGGTTCATTTCCCAATGAAATAAATGTTTCAGAAAGACACAAAACGTCAATCCTTAACATCTTATCGTTTAAAGAATTTATATTTTGGTGTAATATTAATAAGTAAGTATCTTTCTTATTATAGAAAAAACTTATTATGGTTCTGTTTATTTTTGCTTACTGGAAAATAGTCTAAAATAGTCCTTTTCTTTAAACTCGAAGCGGAATTTGTTATGGAAGCAGAACAGAAACTAGTGCTTTCTATCCCAATATATTTATGTTTATTCAGGCTTTTATCGCTTATAAATTTCGAATAATTACACATTTTTATGAGTGAAGGAGTTTTTTCTGTTAATTTACTTAATTCGTGTAACATAAGGTTAAATCCTCTACTATTGACTTTTCCAGTAAATGATGAAAACATTCCAAAATCAAGATTTCGGTTGCTATCGTATAATATGCCATAGTAATTTTTTTGCATGTCTCTATAAAGCAAGTTATTGAAATTTTCCACGCGACAATTATATAAAACACTACCACATATGTATGTCGGTACACCAATAATAATGTTTGTTAATAATGAAAGCTTCTCTAATACATTTCTAATATAGCTTACTAGTGAAACATTGCTTTGTGAAACTTTAAAATCTGCATCACCTAAAAGAATAATACAGCAATCCGCTTTTGTGAAGTTCTTCAATTTCGCCTCAATGTTATGGAGTAATTCCAGGACAGTTGCCCCTGGTTTACTATAGTGACAGTACCTACCTGCCCTTATTTTATGAATATGAATATTATTAAAAACAAATGTTATATCGTACGTAGTTTCGCAACGCGTACGCACCGACCTCGCCCCCACTCTCCATCTACGGTGCAGCCCCACCCTCATACCCTCACCCTTTCTGCTAGGTGCAGCACACGCGATTTGTATATAAGATATTGATATCGACACCACAGGTCAATTCTCGGCTCGTCTACGCACCGTGCACACATGTCTACACTCCGCTCCTCTTCATCACCTTCGCTCATCGATCGTGTTGCTGCCGTCATGCAGTTAGCTGCATGCTTCTCGCAACTCTCGTCGCAGTTTTCACTGCGCGGGAGTTGTAATTTCATTATGAGTATGTCTTTGAAAGTCTACGCTTAGTAGCCATCTAGTGGACGCGTAACTGTGTCAACTAACCTAGATGGGGCATGATATCATTAACGCATTCAGGCATGAATGATAAGCTACGCTATGTTTTTTTTTATTGCTCTTAAGTAGCTATAATAAAGTTCTTATCAGTATTTATGAGGATGAGAGAGGACTCTGGAATGTCAGACAGTTAATTATTCAGATGCATGACTATATATAGCTTTCACATAATTGCCATTTTCGTTAAATGCATGGGTATTTTCGTCAATGATGTGATATTTAATCGCTTATAATAACTAAATGTGTTCAAGCGCTCTTAAATAAGAGTGCTCAGATAATATTTATTTATTTTTCGGCGCGCTAGTTATCAATTTAATATTTATGCTTTTTAAATGCTAAGCGTCTAGCTAAATTTAATGTTAACGTCTAGATCTAGAAAAGCTTGAGTATAGCTTCCACGTAATAATGTATGTAACAGGTGGTCACAGACACTCCTGGCTACCGCAATACGAATTAAAGTTTAGGCATACTAATGGCAATAACTTTTTTCATCTAAAAACCACTGATAAACATTTTATGGATTTTATATTTTAATAAAATTTACAACATCGAAAGGATTATTGACCCTACCTGCCCTTATTTTATAAATATGAATATTATTAAAAACAAATATTATATTGAACGTAGTTTCGAAACGCGTATTTATGCTTTTTATATGCTTAGCGTAAAGCTAAATTTAATGTTAGCGTCTAGATCTAGAAAAGCTTGAGTATAGCTTCCACCTAATAATGTATGTAACAGGTGGTCACAGACACTCCTGGCTACCGCAATACGAATTAAAGTTTAGGTATACTTCTGGCAATAACTTTTTTCATCAAAAAACCACTGATAAACATTTTATGGATTTTATATTTTAATAAAATTTACAACATCGAAAGGATTATTGACCCTACCTGCCCTTATTTTATTAATATGAATATTATTTAAAACGAATATTATATTGAACGTAGTTTCGCAACGCGTATTTATGCTTTTTATATGCTTAGCGTAAAGCTAAATTTAATGTTAGCGTCTAGATCTAGAAAAGCTTGAGTAAAGCTTCCACCTAATAATGTATGTAACAGGTGGTCACAGACACTCCTGGCTACCGCAATACGAATTAATGTTTAGGTATACTTCTGGCAATAACTATTTTCATCAAAAAACCACTGATAATCATTTTGAAGATTTTATATTTTAATAAAATTTACAACATCGAAAGGATTATTGACCATACCTACCCTTATTTTATGAATATTATTAAAAACAAATATTATATTGAATGTAGTTTCGCATCGCGTATTTATGCTTTTATATGCTTAGCGTATAGCTAAATTTAATGTTAGCGTCTAGATTAGCGTAAAGCTAATCTATAAATCTAATCTAATCTATAAAAGCTTGAGTAAAGCTTACACCTAATAATGTATGTAACAGGTGGTCACAGACACTCCTGGCTACCGCAATACGAAATAAAGTTTAGGTTTGCTTTTGGCAATAACTTTTTTCATCAAAAACCCACTGATATAGATTTTCTTTTTTAGTAAAATTTAAAACATCGAAAGGATATTTGACCCTACCTGCCCTTATTTTATGAATATGAATATTATTAAAAACAAATGTTATATCGTACGTAGTTTCGCAACGCGTACGCACCGACCTCGCCCCCACTCTCCATCTACGGTGCAGCCCCACCCTCATACCCTCACCCTTTCTGCTAGGTGCAGCACACGCGATTTGTATATAAGGTATTGATATCGACGCCACAGGTCACTTCTCGGCTCGTCTACGCACCGTGCACACATGTCTACACTCCGCTCCTCTTCATCACCTTCGTTCATCGATCGTGTTGCTGCCGTCATGCAGTTAGCTGCATGCTTCTCGCAACTCTCGTCGCAGTTTTCACTGCGCGGGAGTTGTAATTTCATTATGAGTACGTCTTTGAAAGTCTACGCTTAGTAGCCATCTAGTGGACGCGTAACTGTGTCAACTAACCTAGATGGGGCATGATATCATTAACGCATTCAGGCATGAATGATAAGCTACGCTATGTTTTTTTTTATTGCTCTTAAGTAGCTATAATAAAGTCCTTATCAGTATTTATGAGGATGAGAGAGAACTCTGGAATGTCAGACAGTTAATTATTCAGATGCATGACTATATATAGCTTTCACATAATTGCCATTTTCGTTAAATGCATGGGTATTTTCGTCAATGATGTGATATTTAATCGCTTATAATAACTAAATGTGTTCTAGCGCTCTTAAATAAGAGTGCTCAGATAATATTTATTTATTTTTCGGCGCGCTAGTTATCAATTTAATATTTATGCTTTTTAAATGCTAAGCGTCTAGCTAAATTTAATGTTAACGTCTAGATCTAGAAAAGCTTGAGTATAGCTTCATAATCATATCATAATCATTTATTGCATGTCACATAGTATAAAGTTATTCAATAATCAGTACAGTTCATGTGACACCCTGTAAGGGTGTAGCAAATTCAAATTTAATTTCAATTTCAAATAATTTAAATTAAAATACTAATAATAAACATATTAACAAAAAAAAAAAAACAGTTCCTTTTTTTACAGTTTCAGTCCTAAATTAATTAATAAAGTTTTACATTTCCCTAAAACATATATTTTCGTTCGTAATGCCTATTTATCATTAAAAAAAATCGTCAATATTATAATAGCATTTGTCAATGAGGTATGTTTTCAATCAATTAATTAATTTATTTATTTCGAATTTCGTACAAATGAGGTTATTATAAGATGTAAGTATAAGGCATACAAAGTATCTGGCATACAAAATATAGTTAAATTTATATAATTATTAAAAAATAAAATAAAAAATCATGCGAATTCATTAAAATTAAAGACAATTGATACAAGATAGATAAGTAGTCAATTATTAAAAATACAATACATTATTCATTAATACATTACTCATATTTAATAAAATGTCAAGCAATTCACTAAAATTAAAATTAAAATTAAATGTACAATTGAATATAAAATAAAAGTATTATTTAAGATAATCAGAGACCGAATAATAACATTTGTCGACTAACCACTGAAACAATTTAAGTTTAAGCTGTCTTAAAGGCAGTTCAGCAATTTCTTTGGGTAGATTATTATAAATTCTAACTACCATGGCATAGCTATTCCTGCTATATATTTCCTTTCTTAGATTAGGCATAACTAGCTTAAATGGATATCTAGTTTTAAAGACACAAAACTCATTTTTCTTATGGAATAATTCAGGATGTAATCTAGCAAATTTACAAGCTTCAAAAATATATATACAAGGAAGAGTCAATAGATTTAATTCTTTAAATAAAGGCCTGCAACTAGTTCTGGGTGAAACATCCTTCATTGCTCGAATGCACTGTTTCTGCGCTATAAGCGCTCTGTTTATTCCTACTGAATTGCCCCATAGCAAAACTCCGTATCTTAAGTTAGATGCTACATAGCCGTGATAAGCTTTCTAAGAAGTTTGTAAGTTTGTTAATTTTGTCAGTCTCCAAAGTGCGTATCTAAAGCGATTTATTTTTCCACAAACGTGTTCAATATGATATTTCCAGGAACAGTTTTTATCGATTTTTATGCCCAAGAAAGTAACCTCATCTGATTCAGTCAATTGTAAATTATTGTATGTCAAATCTAAATTAATTTTATTGGCATTTTTATTAAAAAATTGAATATATTTTGTTTTTACTTATGTTAAATCTTAAATTATTTGCTTCCAGCCAGTTCATTACATTAGAGATGCATGCATTTATTTCACTGTTGTAATCTAAATCATTTCTTCTTGAAATAACGATCGACAAATCATCCGCGAATAAGTAACATTTATATTTACAGGATAAAGGAAGGTCATTGATGTAAAGAATGAACAGTAACTGACCCAAAATACTGCCTTGTGGAACACCCACTTCTTTAGGCTTTGATACGTCTGATCTATAAAAGACTTGCTGCATATTGCAGTCAAGTGCAGGTATTTCCACATATTGAGTGCGGTTGCATAAGTAACTTGAAAGCCACTTAAGAGCTATTCCACGGAAGCCATATTTTTCACACTTATTAAGTAGAATATTATGGCACACAAAATCGAACGCTCTTGTCATGTCAAAGAATATAGCTGTGGTATTGTCTTTTCGATTTAGATTTTCTAATAAATTATTCACCAATTTAAATGCTGTTAGTGTAGTGGATTTCCCTTTTTGGAAACCATTCTGTTCAGCGCATAAAATATTATGTTTTTCTATGAAATTTGTCATTCTACTGTGCATGATTTTTTCAAATATTTTTGACAAGATGGGAATTAAAGCTATTGGCCTATAATTTATTGGATTATTTTTGTCCCCTTTTTTATATAAAGGTTTTATGACAGTTCTTTTAAGATTTTCAGGAAAGATACCTTGAGAAAGAGAAAGATTTATAATATATCTTAATGATGGTGCCAAAACACGAGAGCAATACTTAATGACTTGTGTAGAGATGTTGTCATAACCAGTAGAAGAAGTATCTTTAAGAGACCTAATTATCCGCCGTATTTCATCGTTATCTGTTGGAAGCAAAAAAATGTTTTTGTCGTTTTGTTTTATGTCATGTCTATATGTTTTATTTTTTGTCTCAATATTTGTCATGTCATTAAAATAGCGATCAAATATATTAGCAATGTCAACAGGATTATTAAATTCAATGTCGTTATATATGATTTTAAATTCATTATTATTCAATTTGGTTTCGGATGTGTAATTTTTTATAATTTTCCACGAAGCTGAACAAATATTTTTAGCCTCATTGATGAAACCTACATTTGAAATCCTTTGAGCAGTAAAGATACATTTTTTTAAAATTTTATTGTACCTATTATATTTAATTTTATCCGAAGGACATTTTGTTTTGTGAAATTTAAATCTTAAATTACGCTTTATTTTCGATGATATTTTTAACCCTTTCGATATCCATTTGCATTGCTTTGATTTATTATTTAGTTTGATTAGTTTAAAAGGGAAGCATAAATCGTAATACAGTGTAAGATTTTTATGGAAGTTATCAAAAGCCCTATTAACATCTTGTTCACTATAAACATCAAACCACGAAAAACTGTTTATGCAGTTTGTGAATTTTTCCATATTTTCTATATTATAGTCTCTTTTCCGTATGAAATATGGTTTTATTGGAGCTTCTTTATGTGTAGTCGGAAGATGTAACAATTGGCCAGTTTCGTGATCTGATAGACCTAATGGTAAAATTTCTCCAGTGGCATCCTTGACGTTACTTTTTATTTGATCAAGACACGCCTTTCGTCTTGTCGGCTTTGTAATATGAATTTCAAATTTATAATTCTGAATTATTCGCCTGTATTCTTCCAATGCTGGCGATTCTTTTAACAGATCAATATTAAAATCACCTTCAATTACTACTTTCTTTTTTACTTTTGTTTGCAGTTTATTTAATACTAATTCAAGCTTATCTAGAAAAACAAAGGGATCACTGGTTGGTATTCTGTACACGCATAGAATAACACAATTATGTTTCAGAATCTCTATGCCACAACATTCAAATTTAAAGTCTGTACTTATTTCTTTTAAAAATGGTAACTTTTTAAATTGTAATTTTTCCCTACAAAGTAAACATACACCTCCTCGACTTTCATTCGATCGCGAATACCAATCCGCAATGATTAAGCCACGTATCTTTAAATTTGGTTCATTTCCCAATGAAATAAATGTTTCAGAAAGACACAAAACGTCAATCCTTAACATCTTATCGTTTAAAGAATTTATATTTTGGTGTAATATTAATAAGTAAGTATCTTTCTTATTATAGAAAAAACTTATTATGGTTCTGTTTATTTTTGCTTACTGGAAAATAGTCTAAAATAGTCCTTTTCTTTAAACTCGAAGCGGAATTTGTTATGGAAGCAGAACAGAAACTAGTGCTTTCTATCCCAATATATTTATGTTTATTCAGGCTTTTATCGCTTATAAATTTCGAATAATTACACATTTTTATGAGTGAAGGAGTTTTTTCTGTTAATTTACTTAATTCGTGTAACATAAGGTTAAATCCTCTACTATTGACTTTTCCAGTAAATGATGAAAACATTCCAAAATCAAGATTTCGGTTGCTATCGTATAATATGCCATAGTAATTTTTTTGCATGTCTCTATAAAGCAAGTTATTGAAATTTTCCACGCGACAATTATATAAAACACTACCACATATGTATGTCGGTACACCAATAATAATGTTTGTTAATAATGAAAGCTTCTCTAATACATTTCTAATATAGCTTACTAGTGAAACATTGCTTTGTGAAACTTTAAAATCTGCATCACCTAAAAGAATAATACAGCAATCCGCTTTTGTGAAGTTCTTCAATTTCGCCTCAATGTTATGGAGTAATTCCAGGACAGTTGCCCCTGGTTTACTATAGTGACAGTACCTACCTGCCCTTATTTTATGAATATGAATATTATTAAAAACAAATGTTATATCGTACGTAGTTTCGCAACGCGTACGCACCGACCTCGCCCCCACTCTCCATCTACGGTGCAGCCCCACCCTCATACCCTCACCCTTTCTGCTAGGTGCAGCACACGCGATTTGTATATAAGATATTGATATCGACACCACAGGTCAATTCTCGGCTCGTCTACGCACCGTGCACACATGTCTACACTCCGCTCCTCTTCATCACCTTCGCTCATCGATCGTGTTGCTGCCGTCATGCAGTTAGCTGCATGCTTCTCGCAACTCTCGTCGCAGTTTTCACTGCGCGGGAGTTGTAATTTCATTATGAGTATGTCTTTGAAAGTCTACGCTTAGTAGCCATCTAGTGGACGCGTAACTGTGTCAACTAACCTAGATGGGGCATGATATCATTAACGCATTCAGGCATGAATGATAAGCTACGCTATGTTTTTTTTTATTGCTCTTAAGTAGCTATAATAAAGTTCTTATCAGTATTTATGAGGATGAGAGAGGACTCTGGAATGTCAGACAGTTAATTATTCAGATGCATGACTATATATAGCTTTCACATAATTGCCATTTTCGTTAAATGCATGGGTATTTTCGTCAATGATGTGATATTTAATCGCTTATAATAACTAAATGTGTTCAAGCGCTCTTAAATAAGAGTGCTCAGATAATATTTATTTATTTTTCGGCGCGCTAGTTATCAATTTAATATTTATGCTTTTTAAATGCTAAGCGTCTAGCTAAATTTAATGTTAACGTCTAGATCTAGAAAAGCTTGAGTATAGCTTCCACGTAATAATGTATGTAACAGGTGGTCACAGACACTCCTGGCTACCGCAATACGAATTAAAGTTTAGGCATACTAATGGCAATAACTTTTTTCATCTAAAAACCACTGATAAACATTTTATGGATTTTATATTTTAATAAAATTTACAACATCGAAAGGATTATTGACCCTACCTGCCCTTATTTTATAAATATGAATATTATTAAAAACAAATATTATATTGAACGTAGTTTCGAAACGCGTATTTATGCTTTTTATATGCTTAGCGTAAAGCTAAATTTAATGTTAGCGTCTAGATCTAGAAAAGCTTGAGTATAGCTTCCACCTAATAATGTATGTAACAGGTGGTCACAGACACTCCTGGCTACCGCAATACGAATTAAAGTTTAGGTATACTTCTGGCAATAACTTTTTTCATCAAAAAACCACTGATAAACATTTTATGGATTTTATATTTTAATAAAATTTACAACATCGAAAGGATTATTGACCCTACCTGCCCTTATTTTATTAATATGAATATTATTTAAAACGAATATTATATTGAACGTAGTTTCGCAACGCGTATTTATGCTTTTTATATGCTTAGCGTAAAGCTAAATTTAATGTTAGCGTCTAGATCTAGAAAAGCTTGAGTAAAGCTTCCACCTAATAATGTATGTAACAGGTGGTCACAGACACTCCTGGCTACCGCAATACGAATTAATGTTTAGGTATACTTCTGGCAATAACTATTTTCATCAAAAAACCACTGATAATCATTTTGAAGATTTTATATTTTAATAAAATTTACAACATCGAAAGGATTATTGACCATACCTACCCTTATTTTATGAATATTATTAAAAACAAATATTATATTGAATGTAGTTTCGCATCGCGTATTTATGCTTTTATATGCTTAGCGTATAGCTAAATTTAATGTTAGCGTCTAGATTAGCGTAAAGCTAATCTATAAATCTAATCTAATCTATAAAAGCTTGAGTAAAGCTTACACCTAATAATGTATGTAACAGGTGGTCACAGACACTCCTGGCTACCGCAATACGAAATAAAGTTTAGGTTTGCTTTTGGCAATAACTTTTTTCATCAAAAACCCACTGATATAGATTTTCTTTTTTAGTAAAATTTAAAACATCGAAAGGATATTTGACCCTACCTGCCCTTATTTTATGAATATGAATATTATTAAAAACAAATGTTATATCGTACGTAGTTTCGCAACGCGTACGCACCGACCTCGCCCCCACTCTCCATCTACGGTGCAGCCCCACCCTCATACCCTCACCCTTTCTGCTAGGTGCAGCACACGCGATTTGTATATAAGGTATTGATATCGACGCCACAGGTCACTTCTCGGCTCGTCTACGCACCGTGCACACATGTCTACACTCCGCTCCTCTTCATCACCTTCGTTCATCGATCGTGTTGCTGCCGTCATGCAGTTAGCTGCATGCTTCTCGCAACTCTCGTCGCAGTTTTCACTGCGCGGGAGTTGTAATTTCATTATGAGTACGTCTTTGAAAGTCTACGCTTAGTAGCCATCTAGTGGACGCGTAACTGTGTCAACTAACCTAGATGGGGCATGATATCATTAACGCATTCAGGCATGAATGATAAGCTACGCTATGTTTTTTTTTATTGCTCTTAAGTAGCTATAATAAAGTCCTTATCAGTATTTATGAGGATGAGAGAGAACTCTGGAATGTCAGACAGTTAATTATTCAGATGCATGACTATATATAGCTTTCACATAATTGCCATTTTCGTTAAATGCATGGGTATTTTCGTCAATGATGTGATATTTAATCGCTTATAATAACTAAATGTGTTCTAGCGCTCTTAAATAAGAGTGCTCAGATAATATTTATTTATTTTTCGGCGCGCTAGTTATCAATTTAATATTTATGCTTTTTAAATGCTAAGCGTCTAGCTAAATTTAATGTTAACGTCTAGATCTAGAAAAGCTTGAGTATAGCTTCATAATCATATCATAATCATTTATTGCATGTCACATAGTATAAAGTTATTCAATAATCAGTACAGTTCATGTGACACCCTGTAAGGGTGTAGCAAATTCAAATTTAATTTCAATTTCAAATAATTTAAATTAAAATACTAATAATAAACATATTAACAAAAAAAAAAAAACAGTTCCTTTTTTTACAGTTTCAGTCCTAAATTAATTAATAAAGTTTTACATTTCCCTAAAACATATATTTTCGTTCGTAATGCCTATTTATCATTAAAAAAAATCGTCAATATTATAATAGCATTTGTCAATGAGGTATGTTTTCAATCAATTAATTAATTTATTTATTTCGAATTTCGTACAAATGAGGTTATTATAAGATGTAAGTATAAGGCATACAAAGTATCTGGCATACAAAATATAGTTAAATTTATATAATTATTAAAAAATAAAATAAAAAATCATGCGAATTCATTAAAATTAAAGACAATTGATACAAGATAGATAAGTAGTCAATTATTAAAAATACAATACATTATTCATTAATACATTACTCATATTTAATAAAATGTCAAGCAATTCACTAAAATTAAAATTAAAATTAAATGTACAATTGAATATAAAATAAAAGTATTATTTAAGATAATCAGAGACCGAATAATAACATTTGTCGACTAACCACTGAAACAATTTAAGTTTAAGCTGTCTTAAAGGCAGTTCAGCAATTTCTTTGGGTAGATTATTATAAATTCTAACTACCATGGCATAGCTATTCCTGCTATATATTTCCTTTCTTAGATTAGGCATAACTAGCTTAAATGGATATCTAGTTTTAAAGACACAAAACTCATTTTTCTTATGGAATAATTCAGGATGTAATCTAGCAAATTTACAAGCTTCAAAAATATATATACAAGGAAGAGTCAATAGATTTAATTCTTTAAATAAAGGCCTGCAACTAGTTCTGGGTGAAACATCCTTCATTGCTCGAATGCACTGTTTCTGCGCTATAAGCGCTCTGTTTATTCCTACTGAATTGCCCCATAGCAAAACTCCGTATCTTAAGTTAGATGCTACATAGCCGTGATAAGCTTTCTAAGAAGTTTGTAAGTTTGTTAATTTTGTCAGTCTCCAAAGTGCGTATCTAAAGCGATTTATTTTTCCACAAACGTGTTCAATATGATATTTCCAGGAACAGTTTTTATCGATTTTTATGCCCAAGAAAGTAACCTCATCTGATTCAGTCAATTGTAAATTATTGTATGTCAAATCTAAATTAATTTTATTGGCATTTTTATTAAAAAATTGAATATATTTTGTTTTTACTTATGTTAAATCTTAAATTATTTGCTTCCAGCCAGTTCATTACATTAGAGATGCATGCATTTATTTCACTGTTGTAATCTAAATCATTTCTTCTTGAAATAACGATCGACAAATCATCCGCGAATAAGTAACATTTATATTTACAGGATAAAGGAAGGTCATTGATGTAAAGAATGAACAGTAACTGACCCAAAATACTGCCTTGTGGAACACCCACTTCTTTAGGCTTTGATACGTCTGATCTATAAAAGACTTGCTGCATATTGCAGTCAAGTGCAGGTATTTCCACATATTGAGTGCGGTTGCATAAGTAACTTGAAAGCCACTTAAGAGCTATTCCACGGAAGCCATATTTTTCACACTTATTAAGTAGAATATTATGGCACACAAAATCGAACGCTCTTGTCATGTCAAAGAATATAGCTGTGGTATTGTCTTTTCGATTTAGATTTTCTAATAAATTATTCACCAATTTAAATGCTGTTAGTGTAGTGGATTTCCCTTTTTGGAAACCATTCTGTTCAGCGCATAAAATATTATGTTTTTCTATGAAATTTGTCATTCTACTGTGCATGATTTTTTCAAATATTTTTGACAAGATGGGAATTAAAGCTATTGGCCTATAATTTATTGGATTATTTTTGTCCCCTTTTTTATATAAAGGTTTTATGACAGTTCTTTTAAGATTTTCAGGAAAGATACCTTGAGAAAGAGAAAGATTTATAATATATCTTAATGATGGTGCCAAAACACGAGAGCAATACTTAATGACTTGTGTAGAGATGTTGTCATAACCAGTAGAAGAAGTATCTTTAAGAGACCTAATTATCCGCCGTATTTCATCGTTATCTGTTGGAAGCAAAAAAATGTTTTTGTCGTTTTGTTTTATGTCATGTCTATATGTTTTATTTTTTGTCTCAATATTTGTCATGTCATTAAAATAGCGATCAAATATATTAGCAATGTCAACAGGATTATTAAATTCAATGTCGTTATATATGATTTTAAATTCATTATTATTCAATTTGGTTTCGGATGTGTAATTTTTTATAATTTTCCACGAAGCTGAACAAATATTTTTAGCCTCATTGATGAAACCTACATTTGAAATCCTTTGAGCAGTAAAGATACATTTTTTTAAAATTTTATTGTACCTATTATATTTAATTTTATCCGAAGGACATTTTGTTTTGTGAAATTTAAATCTTAAATTACGCTTTATTTTCGATGATATTTTTAACCCTTTCGATATCCATTTGCATTGCTTTGATTTATTATTTAGTTTGATTAGTTTAAAAGGGAAGCATAAATCGTAATACAGTGTAAGATTTTTATGGAAGTTATCAAAAGCCCTATTAACATCTTGTTCACTATAAACATCAAACCACGAAAAACTGTTTATGCAGTTTGTGAATTTTTCCATATTTTCTATATTATAGTCTCTTTTCCGTATGAAATATGGTTTTATTGGAGCTTCTTTATGTGTAGTCGGAAGATGTAACAATTGGCCAGTTTCGTGATCTGATAGACCTAATGGTAAAATTTCTCCAGTGGCATCCTTGACGTTACTTTTTATTTGATCAAGACACGCCTTTCGTCTTGTCGGCTTTGTAATATGAATTTCAAATTTATAATTCTGAATTATTCGCCTGTATTCTTCCAATGCTGGCGATTCTTTTAACAGATCAATATTAAAATCACCTTCAATTACTACTTTCTTTTTTACTTTTGTTTGCAGTTTATTTAATACTAATTCAAGCTTATCTAGAAAAACAAAGGGATCACTGGTTGGTATTCTGTACACGCATAGAATAACACAATTATGTTTCAGAATCTCTATGCCACAACATTCAAATTTAAAGTCTGTACTTATTTCTTTTAAAAATGGTAACTTTTTAAATTGTAATTTTTCCCTACAAAGTAAACATACACCTCCTCGACTTTCATTCGATCGCGAATACCAATCCGCAATGATTAAGCCACGTATCTTTAAATTTGGTTCATTTCCCAATGAAATAAATGTTTCAGAAAGACACAAAACGTCAATCCTTAACATCTTATCGTTTAAAGAATTTATATTTTGGTGTAATATTAATAAGTAAGTATCTTTCTTATTATAGAAAAAACTTATTATGGTTCTGTTTATTTTTGCTTACTGGAAAATAGTCTAAAATAGTCCTTTTCTTTAAACTCGAAGCGGAATTTGTTATGGAAGCAGAACAGAAACTAGTGCTTTCTATCCCAATATATTTATGTTTATTCAGGCTTTTATCGCTTATAAATTTCGAATAATTACACATTTTTATGAGTGAAGGAGTTTTTTCTGTTAATTTACTTAATTCGTGTAACATAAGGTTAAATCCTCTACTATTGACTTTTCCAGTAAATGATGAAAACATTCCAAAATCAAGATTTCGGTTGCTATCGTATAATATGCCATAGTAATTTTTTTGCATGTCTCTATAAAGCAAGTTATTGAAATTTTCCACGCGACAATTATATAAAACACTACCACATATGTATGTCGGTACACCAATAATAATGTTTGTTAATAATGAAAGCTTCTCTAATACATTTCTAATATAGCTTACTAGTGAAACATTGCTTTGTGAAACTTTAAAATCTGCATCACCTAAAAGAATAATACAGCAATCCGCTTTTGTGAAGTTCTTCAATTTCGCCTCAATGTTATGGAGTAATTCCAGGACAGTTGCCCCTGGTTTACTATAGTGACAGTACTTAAAACGGTGACGAAAATTTCGATCTAATGGTTCCAAAAATTCATTAGATCTGTGTGATCTGGTGCTCAGAACAATGAGATTTCTTTGTCCGGAATCTTGTTGACTGTTTATAATTCCATAACTTGCATCAGTGCTGTTATCTTTGTCTTTTATTTTCGAGTGTAGTGTTATCTTCTCAGATTGTTCCATTTTGTTACCTGATTTTTCAATTACGTAGCCTTTTTGAAAACAAACACTTTCGTTTAGTGCTCCTGATTTGTTTTGTTTTGACAATGAAATGTCGTGTTTATTTTTTCTTAATTTTTTTTGTACTAGAACATATAGTCAGCAGCTGTTTTATTTTATTGTCCTTTTCATATATTTCCTTCTTCATCTTATTATTTTCTAAATGTAGATTTTCAATCTCTGAATGAGCTGTTTCAAGTTGTGAGTTTAAGTTCGAAATCGATTCCTTTAATAATATGATTT